ACTAGGGAATTTCTCCATTCAAATACCTATCGAAACCCCCAAATGCTCGAGGTGGTTTGGGAAACTCGCGAATCATGAAATCAGATAATATCAGATATCGCAGTAAAAGCTTATCAAAATGGTGCTCTCAGGGATAATTGGCCCCTGGGCAAATGCACGGGCGAAGCTTCTATCAACCAGCCATATTCTGATACACATAAGTATGTATGTATTTTTGTTATTTCGTGGATAAAACTTACCTATAAAAAATTTTCGCCGAATCTAAATTGGGAAGTTAAAAAAGGTGAACGATTTGTAAAATAATGACCCATAAACAATAAGTACTAATTAGGCAACTATTTTAGTCTTACAATCCTAGAAATCGTAAATTTTAGATATCTATTACTTCCGCATTATCCCTTAATAATCTCTTGACTTTTCCATCAAGTAAAGCTTTTACCCGACCAACGCTTTTAATACAGTGAAAAAACTCAGCTTTAATTCTGTGTGAGAATTCTCGAAAGCAGTTTTTCTTTTTATTTCAATAGAAATTGAAGCGATTTCATGAAATTCCACAGCTTTAGTACCTTCAGCTACCGCGACCATATTGCCGTTTTTGACAAGCCAGCCAGCCCAGCCCTGCCAAGCACATTGTTGTTGCTGGTCCATCAAAAAATTTTTACGCCGACAAAAACAACAGCAGCAGCTGCAACTAGTACAGCCGTTACATCTTTTAATTGAATTTCTTGCCGCTTGATGTGGTGCGAAGTACGAGTACANACCTTCAGCTACCGCGACCATATTGCCGTTTTTGACAAGCCAGCCAGCCAGCCCTGCCAAGCACATTGTTGTTGCTGGTCCATCAAAAAATTTTTACGCCGACAAAAACAACAGCAGCAGCAGCAACTAGTACAGCCGTTACATCTTTTAATTGAATTTCTTGCCGCTTGATGTGGTGCGAAGTACGAGTACATACATACATCAAAACGAATCTGCGTTGATTGCTGGGGAGATTTATTGAGATTGGCTATTGAAACAACGGCGTTGGCGTCTAACTGGCTGACAGCGCTGACATTTTTGAACACAAGCGAGGGAGAATCGAGACTGAGGCTGAAAAAAATAAAATGAATCATAACTCAATGTGTTGTAGGCGTGGTGCAAGCACACCAACACAGGCATAACAACCCATAATCAAGACAATCGGTGGGCGTGTGTAAAAACAACAACAGTTAAACAAGTAGAGCCTCGCATTGATACTATCAAAAGTTGGATGTGTGCCTGTGTATGTACGCATGTGTTTGTAACATTTTGTGTGTGCGGTACATCCCATCCATAGTTCACAGTAGGCGGTAGAAAGTTGGTAAGCAACTGTCGGCGCAGTCAATGAAGGTTGATGTTGTTATGTATTTTGTGTGNGCATAACAACCCATAATCAAGACAATCGGTGGGCGTGTGTAAAAACAACAGTTAAACAAGTAGAGCCTCGCATTGATACTATCAAAAGTTGGATGTGTGCCTGTGTATGTATGCACGGGTTTGTAACATTTTGTGTGTGCGTACATTCCATCCATAGTTCACAGTAGGCGGTAGAAACTGTCGGCGCAGTCAATGAAGGTTGATGTTGTTATGTATTTTGTGTAGCTGTAGTTGTGATTATGGTCTTGCCATTGATTGTCAGATTTATATGTACATATGTATGTATGTGCATACATACCTAGGTTTCTTTACGCAGCGCGAAGTGTGGGCGGCAGAAAAAAATCAATCAAATGGTTGTAACACTTGGTGGTGGCGTTGATGACGGCGATTGTGGTGGCGTTGGTGATATGATTTTTACAGTTCTACGCCTTTTTTTAATCACAGTCATATCAAGTGCAAGTGATTGCTACATCCGCTTCAGTTTTTAAGTTAAAGTTAAGGAACGTAATGTTGTTAAAAGGAGTGAAGAATATAGCATAAACTGGAAGAAAAGAATGCTTGATATGTAGTTGGCTTCTATGATGATGAACCCAGACTAAAGGAAAATCCACGAATATTTAAGAGCTCAAATGGCGCTGTGATTAATATTTTAGACTTCGATAAATTGTTTTCTGTTTTTGTGAACTTATGTACACTGCAGACAAAAAGTATGGGCACAGCTGCTTTTTTACAATATATGCAACAATTTTTATTGTAATATTTTTCCAACAATTTTTTATAAAAATATGGTTCATTCCACAACGAAAAACATAAAAATATAATTTCTTAACTTTGAGTAACACTCGTAAAAATTCAGTAAATTTTCAACTTTTTAATCAGATTTTTTCAAATTTTCTTGAGTATGCAGTTTTGTAGCCTATTAAATTCTAGTATAAAAAACGCAAGCTTGAAATTAGCCACAAATCGCTTTAATTATTCATAATTTTTTTTGTTGAAGGTATTTTGCATTTTTTCCATATAAAGTATTTTCGAAATTTTTTTTTCTGTGGAAGAGCCGGCGTGAAAGAAATTGCAAAAATTAACGGTAATTTGTAGCTACTTAAAGCTTCTACTTTATTACAATAAAAAGTTCAAAATTTTACAGAAAATATATTTGTGGTTTTCTAAATTTTGTTTAAATTTTGAAACTTTCATTTAAATGCTTTTAATTAAAGCAATCAAAATATAAAAAAATATATATATATATAAAATTTTGTTTAAAAAAATCTAAATACGAGCCATTGATAGAGTCACTGTACATATGTTTTATTTTTTATTTTTTCAAAGGAGGTGAACATCGGAAGCCTTAATCCCGAGAGTGCGGCGCTTTCACCGCATTAAACCTTCTACCATACTGTACCGTTTCCTCGCTGAACTCAAAGTCAGTTCGATCATGAAGCAATAATTGAATTTAGATCTACCTGGTCCATCTCAGTATTTGTTTATATAAACACCTGTTGGGCCAGCTGATATGTAAGATTTGTCTGCATTGATAAAAGAGCAATCATCATTTTTAGTATTTCACGAGAAATTGTCATATTCCATTATCGAGTGATTTGAGCAACTCTACAAGTTCAATTTCACGTGAGGGGCTCTCACATTACGCGTCAAAGTCAAATGAAGGAATGGGGAAAATTCAGACCAAGACTTAACACTGTTTCAAATTGGGGTGATACGGGAACCAACAAATTTTAAAAACTTTATGAATTTAGGTAACTTGAAACATTTCAGGTAGTCGATAATTTTCGACAATTCGATACATAATGATAGCTCAATGAATTGCAAAAAACTACATTCCGATAACTCAGAAAAATTCGATAACTCTACAAATTCCGATAAATATCGATAAATTTAGATATATATCGAGAACTTGGTTTGGCTCGGTTTGGCGATAAAATCATGAAATTCGAGAAATCTCTATAACCCTTGATTCCATGAACCGACAAATTGCGATGGCTGCCAACAAATGTTGATAAATCAATAAATATCGGTGACTCGCTAATTCGAAAGAACTCGATACATAACAACTGGATAAATTTCTTTATTTCGATTAACTTCGTTATCTCTAACAAATTTTAATCAACTTAGTGATAATTCTATAAATATCATATATAGATAATAAAATTTCATTATATTGGTAAATTTCGATAATCCGATAAATTTTCATTACTCGATAGCTATCCGCACATTTCGATAACTAAGTTTCTGTGTCTGGATAGGTTTCGATAACTCAATAAACATTGATCAATTTTAGTAACTCGATAAATTCCGATAACTTAATAAGCAGGGAACGGATTTTATGGAAATTGCCTTTTTTCTGCTAAAGAGATATAGTATATTCGATCAAGAATGTCCACGATTTAGCTTTCCCTGATTCCATATATACCCATTTGATGTTGCCTTTTTTTGCCTTTTTTAAGATATTTGCCTTTTTTTTTGCCTTTTTTAAGATATTTGCCTTTTTTTGCCTGTTTTAAGATATTTGCCTTTTTTTTTGCCCTTTCTACCTTTAAAAAAGTGATTATAGCATTTACAATTTTTTTTTAAAGATTAAGAAATATACACATGCCCATATTCGAAAATAAGTATGTATAGAAAAACGCAGTGTGTAAGTAGTGAATACTTAAGCAAAAATAAATTTTGTAGTTTTCATGTCACTCTGTTGCGTGCTAAAATCTATCAACACAGTTGCTGATGTGCACAACTAACAACTGTTTTACTTCAATAGAGTTTGCCAGCCGTTATTTGAAACAAAAAGTTATTCAGTGTAAAAACTAAAAAAGCAATGCCGAAGTCTAAAATTACCAAGAGTTTAAAAATTCTGATTGCCGTGTTTGGTTCGGATGTATTTTGTACTGATGGAACCGTTTTATTTTGCAATATTTGTTCAGTAAAAGTTAATCACGAAAAAAAATATTATATTCAGCAGCATATTAAAAGTTAAAAACATATAAAAGGATTACAAATAAAGAAAAACAAGACCCAAATGATAGCACCATTTGTGGAAAAGAATGTATTTTACGCAGATATTACTAAAATGATGATTGCATGCGGAATTCCACTTTATAAATTGAAGAGTGTGGAATTCAAATCATTCTTTGAAAAATACGTTCAGGAATCCCTTCCCGATGAATCAACTCTTAGAAAAAATTACGTGAAGGATTGTTACGAGTCCGTTTTGGAGAAAATCCGTTTAGAAATAGGAGAAAGCCCCATCTTTGTGTCCATCGATGAAACTACAGATAAGGCAGGCCGCAGTGTAACCAACGTTATTGTTGGACCGTTGCGTGAAAGCGGACGCGGCTATCTCTTGACGGTGGAGGTGTTGGATAAGGTGAACTCATCAACAATCGCAACATTGTTTGACGATTCTTTGCACATTTTATGGCCAATAGGATTCCAACGTGAAAAAGTGTTGGTATTTGTGACTGATGCAGCACCCTACATGAAGAAAAGTGCGTCATCATTGAAGCTGCTTTATCCTAATATGATTCATATCACCTGCGTCGCACATGGCGTACACCGGGTCTGCGAATCTCTACGCTCGAAGTACTCGGATGTTGACGTCTTAATTTCAAACTTAAAAAAAGTTTTCTTGAAAAGCCCATTCAGGGTGGCAGTTTTCAAAGAAATGGAACCCAATCTTCCTCTGCCTCCTCAGCCGGTATGTCAAGATAAATTGCTATTGTTGTTAATTTTAATTATAATTATTTGTAAATTTATACAGGTGATAACTCGATGGGGCACATGGCTAATTGCAGCCGTATATTATGCCGAAAACTATGATTCCATCAAAAGAATAATTGACCAAATAACGGACGATGCAGCATGTGTCAGATTCTCGAAGCAATTGTTGAGCAAAAAATCGGTTCAGGGGAATTTGATATATATAAAATGCAATTTTGGTTTTCTTTTAGAGGAAAAAGTTTTCGAACGTCTACAGAAAACAGGTTGTGGAAAAACAAAATTCTCAGTAAAAAATTAATAATTCACATACACTTTTTATGTAATTGTAGGAACTCCAGTTGGTGAGGTATTAAATATTTTGGATAACATTGAGAAGCGGCTTATAGAAGCGCAGGGGCCTATTGCCAAATTGGTGTTGGAAAAATTCAAAGCCGTTTTCTCAGCTAACTAAGGCTTGGAGACAATAAGGGGTGTGGATAAGATTGTTAAGGGCGAGGCAAACGCTCTTATTCCTGATAATATGAACGTTTCAAACGTTCCATATTTAAATTGGGCGCCACTTGTATCAACTTACGTCGAGCGCACATTTAGTACATTCAAGGCTTTTCTTCGCGAAAATCAATGAAAATGCTGCCAGAAAACTTCAAAATGCATCTTGTGGTTCAATGTTACTACAACTATACAGATTAAAGTTTTATGAGTTAAAAACTCGAAATGATAAAATAGTCAAAGATTCAAAGTACAAATTTTTCATATAATGAAATTAGTTCATAGTTTTTCTCTTTTTACTTGTAATATTAACATTTCTAAAATAAATGTAATTTTTGATTGTTCTTCGTATTTTCTGTCTTTTTTAGTGCCTTATTTTGCTTTTTTTGCAATACCTTTTTTTTGCCTTTTCTTGCCTTTTTCGCTATTTTGTTTTGCCTTTTTTGCACTACCTAGTGCCTTTTCCTGCCTTTTTCGCTATTTTATTTTGCCTTTTCCGTCCTATTTCGTTATTTTATTTTGCCTTTTTTATAGGTTTTTAGGTCCTAAAAATCCGTTCCCTGTTAATAAGCATGGTCGATCCGATAGGTTTTGACAAACCATAAAAACTCTCCCCATCTACAGAAAAATACCTTTCCAATATTTCCAATATACTACGAACGTTGGAAAACTTGAGTTTTTTTTATAAATAAGCTCATCTATAGTTCAATATTCATATAGGTAATTTTCGAAAGTTCGCAGTTGGTTATATTTGAGTAGTCCCAACTACGTCCTTTTCAGCTTCATAAATCTATTGAGAATCTAAAATTTGACTTGTTTACTACCCACCTAAATACATTACATACATATGTAGGTATGTATGGTTTGTATGTGTGTACACTCGCATAACTAGCCGACATGTGCTACGACAATGTGGCAAATTAATTCAAAGCTTTTGGGACATCAACAAAAGTTATGAAATCTTTCTTGCCCCATGTCAAATATTTTGCAGTTGCTGTTGTCACCCCTATTGCCATTTATTTGCAACGTATGAGGTTATTACTGGCATATTTATTGTTGTTCGGAATGCGCTTAATTTTTTTTATTATTATTTTTTTTTACATGCAAGGATTGGTTTGGCTATTTGATATCTACATACACACATACTTACTAGATATAATAAAACCGTAAACTTGTTCTTGTTGGTGTAATACCTTTTATGCGCATAATTTTATGAATATCAATCAAAAACATAAAAAAAAATGTGTAGTACCCATTCTTATACCGATGTAAATATACAGTATGTATTTTCACATACTTACTCATAAACCATGCCGTCCTATCTGAAGTTACCTATCTTTGTGTCTTTTAAGTAATAAAAAATGTATGCTCGGCGCTGCAAGCCAGTGACAGTGATGCTGTTATTTCACTTTTTTAATACACACATTTTTTTTTCATTAACTTCTTTGCAGGAGACCTTAAACTCCAAAATGTGAATAGTGAACAGAAGTCATGAAGATGTCTGAACAATTCCAATGTCATTTCATTCTCTTTCATATTTAATTTTGAAGTATTTCTTGTTCTTACATTGAATTTATGATTAGTTCGTATTTTATATTTTTTTCATAACTTTATGATGTCTCATAAATAATTAAATGAAAACTGTTGTGTTGTATTTTCACTTTAACGAAGGTTGACATATGTCGCACGAAATCTGTTAAATCAAAGCTCTTAACAATATTACTCATACGCAGTGGCTGACATAAGAAACCGTGTTATTGCCTTTAGAGTTTTTAAACAATTACACAGGTTTACAAAAAAAAAGCTTATGCATATTAAGCCAAACTTATATATCCCTATGTTATTCGACACGCTGAATGCGAACCCGAAGTTCGTTAGTCTCCACCACGTCAGGTTCGTGGTCAGTTGAAGGTCAAGTAGGGAAAAATTCATTGATTAAACCTGAAAATGCATATACATAGGGTTTTATATTCGCTGAACCTGAATCCGAGGTCCGTTAGCCTGCATAACGTCAGCTTCGAGGTCATTTGAAGGTCAAATAGGACATAAAATTTATTCAATAAAAAAATAAAAATAAAATAGTTTTTGTTGTCACTGAAACCGAGTATGGAGGTCCCTTGATTCCTCAAGGTCATCTGGGGTCATGCTAAGGTCATACCAAGGTTGAATTCCGATCATTTTTTTTTTAGTTTTCAGGTTTATTCAATGATTTTTCCCTACTTGACCTTCAAATGACCACGAACCTGACGTGATGGAGGCTAACGAACCTCGGATTCGCATTCAACATGTCGAATAACATAGGGATATACATATAGGTTTGGTTTAATATGCATAAACTTTTTTTTTGTTAACCTGTGTTATATTTCTTTGAAAAACACAAATAATAACAAAACCCCTTCAGTTATGTTCTGCTGTCGTTCAACCTTAGCTCGTTTCCTTACTTTGGTCTAATAGTCATTGGCTTTTTATATTCGCCAAGCAAAACACACAAATATCCTTCTTATGAGACACAGTCAAATCAGGCAAATATTAGAAATTTTTCACACAGCTGCAATGAAAGGATAACAGCCATTGTATCATACCCAATAATAAGGTGTAAGGCAGTCGCCTTAGCAGCGGCACGGAAGCGACACAGGTCATCAGACCAGATTTCTAAATTATACATACAAGCGACCTCTTAGCCTGCAAACGCACGTGGAAAAACCTATAAATATTCTTAGTTTCTCCTTAGGGAGACCAGTGAGTAACCTATATCTTTCCAGATTGTATCCTCCTCTTAAGCTTTTTGCCTGGCGTTGACCCATATTTTTACTTCTGAGCACTTCCTTTATGATGTTGGGACCCACTGCAAGGAAATGCTCAGGTCCTGTCGGGGTCGAAGCAGTGGCCGTACTGGCCAATTGATCAGCTTTCTTACTTTCCTCGACTTTCATGTGGTCTGGCACTTATAACAATTGGATATCATTATTCTCAGCCAGAGCATTAAGCCTACAAAACCTAAGATGACTTGATCTCGAAAGATGAGAGAGCATTAAGAGTCGGCTGAATTCTGCTTCGATAGACCTCCGCTTGAAAACTGCTTGGGAAGTTTCCCAGGTGCACCGACTGATGAAGCGAAATAATTTATAATTTTCCGTTAACTCTTTGAAGAAAATGAAATAGATATAAATTTTTGGGAAGGGGGAGGGGTGACTTATTTATTTCTAACTACATAAAAATATAAAAACTAACTAACTGCATCAAATATAAAAAATATATAAAAATATAAAAATTATAAAAATTCTACCAATTAAAAAAAAATCCGGAAAATTTCAAAGACTTTAATCCGAATTTTTAGAAAGAAACGCAATTTTATAAGCCATTCAATTTTTATGTAATATAGTCTAAAAATTCCCGTTAATTTTTGAGAATTTTTTTTTTACTGACGGTTTTACGTATTTTCCTACAAATGTTTAGTACATATGTATGTATATTCGAAAACTCTTTTATGTGGAAGAAAATGCAATACATACATCCTCTAAAAATTCTGATTAAGAAGTTGGAAATTTTAACGACTATTTTTTGAAGTTGGCGATTTTTTAATAAATTCTGTACAAAGTTTGAATCTTAGAGTTACTTGGTTTTAGTTGTGGCATAAATTAATTTTTGTAAAAAAAAAAAATTGAAAAAATTAATTGCCAAAACTTGCAAAGTGTCCTAAGTCCTAATTATGTGAACATCACTGTATACATATACATAGTTAGTACTCTCACCTTTCTGCGCCTTTAATGCGATTTGCAAAAATGTGCGAGAAACCGAAACGGGTGCACACAAATAAGTAAAAAATAAAAATAAGTATGTTAAAGCACTGCTTTTTTGCGTTTTGTAATAAATAACAAGCGTTAGATACTCCCTGAGAATATTAAATGTACCTAAATTTTTTTCCTTCATTTGGACAGGAAATTGTCAGCGTAACAGTGTGTTAAACACTGCGCCGCGGGTTATCGACAATGCTGACGCACAAAAGTATTGTGTGTACAAATATCTATAACTTTCTGCTTATTTTATTTATCAAATCTATAGAAAATTTATATACGACTTTATATGTATGTACATATTTTGTAAGTAAGCAAATGGATAAGCATAAGGATATATGCACAATCTACGTACAAGTATATCATTTATAAGTATAAGTAAGCATGTATTAATGCGCGTAAAGATATTCTCTTTCACTTTGAGCGCGCTTGTGAATATACAACGCCGGCGGAGAAATATCAAAAAAGCCGCGCACACTTTGTGCTTAGGAGAACTTAATTTTTTTTCCCCCCCCAGCGCCGCTGTTCATCCTTCATGCATTGTCAACAATTTATGCCACTTGAATTAACATCACAACAGCCCAGCAGCCCAGCAGCCCAGCAGCAAGCGAGCTGGTAACGTGTGTAGTAAAGAAAAAAAAAATAGCAAGTCAGCGCAGTTTGCATGAATTGTTGTTGTATTGTTATTTTTTTATCAGCGTCTAAGCGCAAAGGCGCCACAATGGAAAGCCCAGATAAAAAGGAGTACAGCAGTACAGGAGCATGAATGTATTAATATGTAGAAGCACATGCAGCCGCCTTCAATGTCGTTCAGAAGAAAAAAAAAACAGAAAAACTACAAAGCAATAACTCAAAACCAGCGAGGAGCATTTATAAGCGGTGCGCCTTCAAGTTGCCTTGCATGAAAATCAGTTCCCCAAAAAAATCTGTTTAACACATGTACATACATACATACATACATACATACATATGTAAATGTGTATATATTTTGGCGCAAATGCTTTTAACAAATTTGTGTGGGCGTGTGCGGCTATGTGTTATCCTTTTTTCCACCGTTTTTTACTCCAAATTTAGTTTGTCCGTGACACTGAGCGCGCATAATGGCATCAATAATGAAATTTAGAAGAAGAAAAAGTTGCACAAAGAAATCTGGTGGATACCTACTAGAAGACAGCGAGACGAGTGGGCTAAAATCCCCCAAAAAAAAATACATACATATCGTAAATATTATGCGCATAAGTCGTGGCATATTTTCGTGCGCATCGAAGCAATAAAGTGTAAAAAGCTTTTATATAT